ATTTTTATTTTATTTTTTATTTTATTAATTTAATTTTTTACCTACGTGACTTTACCGAAAAAAACCCAAGAATATGAGAGAGGTGAGTCGGCGCGTGGAACCCGCCCCCATTGTTTCAGCACGTTCCTTCGGAGTGGGCAGGTGGGAACTCGGTTGGACAGCGCATTCGTGCGATCCGTGTTGGATACCGTAGTCGTGTTGGAGTTTGTAGTATGCACGACATACAGACAGATAATCCCTGGTGGGCAGTGTGGAACCTGTTGCTCTTACCTGTATTTTTAAATCCTTTATATTAAGTTCACTTGCTTGTTTGCTTGCGCGCTTACGACCGTGCAAATCTTTCGGTCGTTTTTTAACCCACTTCCCGTGATCCAATCGAGCTGACATTTTGCACACAGACTCGTTGTGCGTGACAATTTATTTTCGTTAAATTTTTTTCTACAAAATTTTCTACATTTTAGGAATGTTTTTAAATATTTAATTACCAATTGCTTAATGGTGGCAGGCAATCATCTGACCCATAGGTGGCAGCCATCTCAAGCCAGAGGACGAGAGGACTCTAGCCGCCACGCATATAAAGGATTTATAGTGAAAAGCTTTGCTTTTACGGGTTAATTTTTTTACCACTTCCATCCGCGCCTCTTTCCCGCACTGCGCAGTCGTCTCAGTGTCACCGTTTTGGTGAGCACACAAGCTCTAACCCCCTAGTAGCCACAATTAGTAAAACACCAACGTCGCTGGAGAGCTTCTTTGAAAAGGAGGAAAGACCCAATGATGACCCCCCCACACCCCGGTCAGTGAAAAAATTGCTGCTGTTACAGACGACGAAAAATAATAAAACACGCTCGCCCTTTCTGCCCCCAAACTCCCGCCTCTTCGAGAATGCCCCGTGGCTCTTCTGTCATCTAAAAATAAATAAAAAACATCTCCATCCGACGCCGAGCTGTGTGTGGCTTCTTTGTGAGGCCCTCGACTTGTAATTGCGAGCGGCTCACGTGTCGCTCTCCGTTTACGTGTTTTAGTTGTTGTTGTGTGTCAGGGTGTGTGGGGTGAGTGTGTGGGGGGGGGGGGGGGGGTGTGTGGGTGTGTGGGGTGTGTGTGTGTCAGGGTGTGTGTGTGTGGGGGGTGTGTGTGGGGGGTGTGTGTGGGATGTGTGTGTTTGATGAGTGTGTGTGTGTCAGGGTGTGTGTGGTGTGTGGGGGCCTGTGTGTGTGGGATGTGTGTGTGGGGGGGGGGGGGTGTGTGGGATGTGTGTGGGGGGGGGGGTGTGTGTGGGATGTGTGTGTTTGATGAGTGTGTGTGTGTCAGGGTGTGTGTGGTGTGTGTGGGGGGGCGTGTGTGTGGGATGTGTGTGTTTTATGAGTGTGTGTCAGGGTGTGTGTGTGTGTGGTGTGTGTGTGGGGGCGTGTGGGGTGTGTGTGTGGGGTGTGTGTGTGTGCGCGATAGTGTAGTGGTTAGCGCGCCGCGCTATGAACCCAGCCACCCGGGTTCGATTCCCACTCACGGCCAACACCAGTGACGATTATCTGAACCGGTCCTGGGTCTCCCCTATGTAGACTCAGCCTCAAATGAGTACCTGGTGCGGTGTGTAGTAAACATCGCCATTGGGGAGATACATGCGGTCGGGCGTGGTGTTGGCCACCCACCACCTCGTGTGCCGTTCCGGCCTTCATAGATGCTCGCTAACAGCACTTTCCCCTACAGTCAGTTAAGGCTACACGGGGGATCTTTGTCTTTACCTTTGACAGCCCACCCTGCCCTATTTCTGCTCGACGTCTCCGAAACCGAACATCGCACCACGATAACAACACGGCACACACACACACAGTCACATGACACACACGGCACACAAAGACAAAGATCCCCCGTATAGCCTGAACAGACTGTAGGGGCAAGTGCTGTTAGCGAGCACCTATGAAGGCCAGAACGGTACACGAGGGGGTGGGTGGCCAGCACCACGCCCGACCGCCTTTGTCTCCCTAGTGGCGATGTTAACACACCACACCAGGTACTCATTTAAGGCTGAGTCGACCTAGGGGAGGCCCAGGACCGGTTCAGATAATCGTCACTGGTGTTAGCCGTGAGCGGGAATCGAACCCGGGTCGCCAGGTTCATAGCGCAGCGCGCTAACCGCTACACTACCGCTCCCCACGGCACACACACACACAGTCACACACACACGGCACACACACACACAGTCACACACACACAGTCACATGACACACGGCACACACACACACAGTCACATGACACACACGGCACACACACACACAGTCACATGACACACACGGCACACACACACACAGTCACACACATACGGCACACACACACACGGCACACACACGGCACACACACACACACGGCACGCACACACAGTCACACACACACAGGCACGCACACAGACACACACACGGCACACACACACACGGCACACACAGACACACACACGGCACACACACGGCACACACACACACACATACGGCACACACACACGGCACACACACACGGCACACACACACGGCACACACACACGGCACACACACAGACACACGGCACACACACACACGGCACACACACACACGGCACACACACACACGGCACACACACACGGCACACACACACGGCACACACACGGCACGCACACACGGCACACACACACACAGACACACACACGGCACACACAGACACACACACACACACAGACACACACACACACACGGCACACACACACGAGTCGGCGGTGTGACCAGCACCGCGCCCGGCCGCCTTTGTCTCCCCAGTGGCGATGTTCTTCGTTTGTCTCGCACACGCGCACCAGCTAGTCTCATTTGAGGCTGAGCCGACCTAAGGGGAGGCCCAGGACCGATTCAGATAAGCGCGATCACCGGCGTTGGCCGTGAGCGGGAATCGAACCCGGGTCGCCAGGTTCACAGCGCAGCGTAGCGCTAACCGCTGCACCACCGCTCCCCATGCACCCGCGTGGACTCACACAAAGATTGCCCCGTGTAGCCCCGAACAGACGTGATTTCTTTGATTTGATTTCTAACTACGTGGAATTTACCGAAAGAACCAAAGAGTATGGGGAGTCACGATAAGCTTCAAATCAAGACTCCAACAGGCTGTTGGGACAAGTGCTGTTAGCGGGCACCTAGGAAGGCACGAGGGGGTGGGGCAGAGGTTGCAACCGGGTACCCGATACCCGTACCCTACCCGGCTACCCGTACCCGGCCGGGTACGGGTAGCCGTTTGCGAGCTGGTGCGGCCGGGTACGGGTAGGCCGTGAGTCACTGGTGAGTCACCGTTTGTCACTCATTTCGGGTAGGGTACGGGTAGGGAACAGGTACCCGTACCCGGCCGGGCGACCCTGGTGCGGCCGGGTACGGGTAAGGAATCAAAACCCGTTTGCGACCTCTGGGGTGGGGTGGCCGGGATCACGCCCGGCCGCCTTTGTCTCCCTCGTGGAGATGTTTACACACACACAGCACCAGCCACTCATTGGAGGCTGACACACACACACAAACACACACAAACACGCAACAGGGGACCCACAGTGATGCTCGCGTTTCACTTTCACGGCAAATTAAAAATAAGGAATAAAGCACGTGGGTCTAAACTGGGAGCAGATGCGGGGCTTGCTTAATCATGGGGGGGGGGGGGGGGGGGGTCACGCAGGCGACGGGGAAGTTCTGGCCGGCCGCACACTACCCCCTCTGAGAACCCCCGTGGGCCTCCCACACGAGTGGCACGCAGCACGGCGCCAGCTGCGGTCACAGCCGCAACAACCAGACCCCTCGCTCGGGCGCCGGGGATTAAATAAGCAAACCACACCACCCCAGCCCGCACCATAACACACCAGCCCACAACACACCAGCCCACAACACACCAGCCCACAACACACACAACACACCAGCCCACAACACACCAGCACACCAGCCCACACCACAACACAACACGCCAGCCCACAACACACCAGCACACCATCCCCACACCACAGCCGGCACCACAACACACCACCCCCATACACCAACCCATACCACACCGCACCAGCCCACACCACCCACCACAACACCCCAGCCCATACCAGCCCACACCACAACACACCAGCCAACACCACAACACACCACCCCTACACCATAACACACCACCCCATACCAGCCCAGGCCTGCCCGTATCCCGAAACACAACAGCCCATACCACAACACACCAAGCCCGCACCACACCACACCAGCCCCAACCACCCCACACCAGCCCACACCCCAGGCACAGATATGGCGCTCGCTCTCTCTCACACAGACACAGACACACAGGTATCAACAACTCGTCCATGGGAGTTGGCCAAACGTGCTCATGTAGGGCCACAGAGCTTGGGCAATTGTTGGCGTTCGTGCTGGATCCAAGGTGTGGAAAAAGGCGGAGGGGGAGGGGAGGTAACTGTGCCGATACCTCGAGTATTTTACCACTTGACGCCGTACATGGACTACATTGTTGCGTGTTGGTGTAGGGCCCGAGTTACTAGACGATAAACATTTATTTTACATTTTAGACCAGGTAAGACCTCACTGAGCTGTGAATAGCTCTTTACCGGAAGCTACCTGGCCATCGCAAAGGATGGCCCCAAAAAAGGGGCTTCATCATCATCACCACCACGTGGAAACGTATTGCAGCCAAATTCTCCCAAACGCACGGCGACTCTAAATGTCGAGCGGAAACCGGAGGGCCCGGAGAGAAATCCACGCAGCCACGGGGAGAAAGCGTGAACACGCAAACTCCAAATATAGAGCAGGCGTCCAACCCACGACCTCCTGTACGCCAGGCGAGGTAGTTAACATCTCCTAGCCACCGTGATGATGATGATGATGAGACACACAAACTCCAAATACACAGCAGGCGTCAGAGCCAGGATGGAACCCACGACCTCCTGTACACCAGGCGAGGGAGTTACACAAAGCCCCCCCCACCGCTGGTTTGAAATTCCACCTCTCGCCTACGAAGAACTAAAACCCCGGCGACCGCTACAATCGTTTTCAACAAGTCATTTATTTAAACGCCTCTTGCAAAACATGGCAGCCCACCGCCACCGCCGCCGCCGCTTTCCTCTACAAATATATAAAAAAAACACCGCCACACAAACATACAGTGATTGCGCGTTCAGGTCACCGCGTGCGGCCACGCGGCTAGAGTTACGGAACGGCCGCCACACGGCCGTTATCCGTTCAACTGCCGGCGGCGGCGACGTGGGTACGGCGCCCCGTGCCAGGCGAGGTGCACCTCGAGGCCGCGTGAAAGCGAGGAAGTCTCGCCGCAGCTGGGAGATCACGGGGAGAGACCATGGTGCCATGGTGTTGACCGACTGCGACGACCGGCACACAACCTGTGCTCCCCCACCCACTGTGCCGACCTTGCAGCTTTTTAGCCGCCCGGCGCCCCGCTCGTTGTTGTGAGCGTCGCTCCTCCGCCCTCCGTTGTTGTTGGAGAGCGACTGCCTCCAACTGCGCAGTAGCGTCCTTCACAAGCCTCCTCCACTGAGGCCAACCATGACACCGCTGGTACCGGTCATTGGCAAGTCGCCATCGAGTTACGCTCTCACACACACTCTCACACACACACACTCTCACACACACACACTCTCACACACACACACTCTCACACACACACACTCTCACACACACACACTCTCACACACACTCTCGCACACACACTCTCACACTCTCACACACACACTCTCACACACACACTCTCACACACACACTCTCACACACACACACTCTCACACACACTCTCGCACACTCTCACACACACACTCTCACACACACACTCTCACACACACACTCTCACACACACACTCTCACACACACACTCTCACACACACACTCTCACACTCTCACACACACACTCTCACACACACACTCTCACACACACACTCTCACACACACACTCTCACACACACTCTCACACACACGACTCGCAGCAGTTGTTTTTGCTCTGATTTCTATTCGTTTCTCCTTGAGAAAGGTATGAACATGAATGGAGAAAGTAAGAGCTCTAGAGAGAGCTGCTCTCTGTTCGTCCACGAGTTCGAGTCTCCACGTGTCCGTGTCTCCACGTCTCTGTGCCTCCGCGTGTCCGTCTCCACGTGTCTCCGTCTCCACGTGTCTCCGTATTCGAGTCATCGTGTCTCCGCGCGTCCCCGTCTCCGTGTCTGTGCATCTCCTCGACTCCACATATCCCCGACTCCACAAATCCGTGTCTCCGCGTGTCTCCGCGTGTCTCAGCGACGTCGGTCTTCAGCACTTGGAGTAGCGCCTGCTGATGGAGTCGCGGTAAAACTCAAAAACTTTGGTGGACGCCTCCCGGCTGAGCGCCACGCAGCGCTGGTACTGGGGTGCAGGGGAGGGGGGGGCAGAAATCATCAATCATCAGATCACAGTCTCTATACGGGCAGCAAGTTGCCGTTTAATAACTAAACTATTTTTACTGGTAGGAACCTCCTGGTTACACCAGCCCACAGGGGATTATTGTGGCCGTCCGTCGTGCATACAAATATGGGAGGGGTGGGGCTGGGTGGAGAGGGGAGCCGTTGACCCTGGCCATTAACCGAGCAACCCAACGTTCCTACCAGCTCCCTCCGCAGGAATGTGTTTTATATGACCAGTTAAGGCCCGACTCAGCTCCATGGCTCTTTGTCAGAAGCGACCTGGGCCACCACAAGTGACCGCCGAAGGAAGGGGCTTTATCATCATCACGTGGAGATTTATATCGGCCGAATACTCCAAATGTGTGACGTCGATTCTGAGCGTGGAGAGGGAACAACAGCAAGACGCGGAGAAAGCCCAGCACCCTGCCGCTGTATACGATGGGGGGGGGGGGGGGGGGGGGGGGGGGGGGTGCGACACTCGCCGGTGGTGGTAATTCCACGTTCATATGGCGAGGGTGAGTGGGGCTACCTCGGTGGCGTCGAGTCGCCCCTTGGTGGACGACGCCAGGATGTTCTTGCCGCTGCTGTCCAGGGCGATCGTGACGAGCGCTCGGCCCTCCTGCGGAGAGAGAGCGGGCGGCCACGCGGAGTGAGTCCACAGCCTCTCTCACACGCAGCCACGGCCTCGCCCACCCACGGCCTCACCCACCCACGGCCTCACTCACCCACGGCCTCACCCACCCACGGCCTCACTCACCCACGGCCTCACCCACCCACGGCCTCACCCACCCACCCGGGGCCGCACTCACCCACGGCCTCACCCACCCACGGCCTCACCCACCCACGGCCTCACCCACCCACGGCCTCACCCACCCACCCGGGGCCTCACTCACCCACGGCCTCACCCACCCACGGCCTCACTCACCCACGGCCTCACCCACCCACGGCCTCACTCACCCACCCACGGCCTCACTCACCCACGGCCTCACCCACCCACGGCCTCACTCACCCACGGCCTCACCCACCCACGGCCTCACCCACCCACGGCCTCACTCACCCACGGCCTCACTCACCCACGGCCTCACTCACCCACGGCCTCACTCACCCACGGCCTCACCCACCCGGGGCCTCACCCACCCGGGGCCTCACCCACCCACGGCCTCACCCACCCACGTCCTCGCCCACTCACCCACCCACTCACCCACCCACTCACGGCCTCACTCACCCACGGCCTCACCCACCCACGGCCTCACTCACCCACGGCCTCACCCACCCACGGCCTCGCCCACTCACCCACCCACTCACCCACCCACTCACTCACCCACCCACTCACCCACCCACTCACCCACCCACTCACGGCCTCACTCACCCACGGCCTCGCCCACCCACGACCTCACTCACCCACGGCCTGGCCGGGGTTCGCGACCCCTGGGTGACCTCCTCACCTTCTCTGCGCTGGTGTCGGGGTCGAGTCCGATGGTGCCGTCGCGCGCGATGGCGCAGGCCACGCCGCAGAAGAGGCAGCGCAGCGCCAGCCCCGCGTCCGCCAGCGCCATGCAGGCGGCGCTCACACAGCACGCCAGCAGCTGGTGCTGCGTCAAGGAAGGCGGTGGGGGGGCACGGTGGGGGGGGGGGCACGGTGGGGGGGGGGGGGCACGGTGGGGGGGGGGGGCACGGTGGGGGGGGAACGGTGGGGGGCTCGGGACGGGATGATGTGGGGAGGGGGGATGGCGTCAGGGGTCATGGTGACAGTTAGGGGGGTCAGGATGACAGCGACGAGCATGAAGATGATGATGAGGAGGTGGTACAGGAGGTGGAACAGGAGGAGGTAAAGGAGGAGCTGTGTGTCTGCTAGCGGCAGTGTCTCAGGGCGCTTTGCCACTCGCGACGGGCATCTCGCGCCCCCCGGCGCGTCACCATCAGCTCCCCCCCCCCGGCGCGTCACCATCAGCTCCCCCCCCCCGGCGCGTCACCATCAGCTCCCCCCCCCCGGCGCGTCACCATCAGCTCCCCCCCCCCCGGCGCGTCACCATCAGCTCCCCCCCCCCGGCGCGTCACCATCAGCTCCCCCCCCCCGGCGCGTCACCATCAGCTCCCCCCCCCCGGCGCGTCACCATCAGCTCCCCCCCCCCGGCGCGTCACCCTCAGCTCCCCCCCCCCGGCGCGTCACCATCAGCTCCCCCCCCCTAGCGGCGGCTGTCGCCGTGCGGCTCCAAGCGACTCGGCTCCAACGCGGCTACGAGAGACCGCCGGTCGGGGGCGACGATCGCGCCACGGGGACCCGCCCCCAACCCGCTAAAACCCGACACGACGACCCTTCCCAAGGCACCTCTCCGATCGGCGCGGTCGGCTCACGCGGCGCGACAAGATGTTGTCCGTGCACACGGACTGAGCCCGCTACGAAGCGAGCGCGAGGTGGTGTGCGAGGATACGGCGCCGGCGTCGTGCACCACCTGCAGGACCAGCGTGATGGAGGTGCGGGGGTGCAGCGACGAGAGCAGCGTCGCCTCCAGCACGCCGCGCACAAACTGCTCCTGGCTCTTCTCCCGCACGCCTGCACGCAACGCACACACGGACACACACACACACACGGACACACACGCGCACGCACGGACACACACACGGACACATACACGTAAGTACGGACACACATACGGACACACACACGCACGTACGGACACACACACACAGACACAAGCACGTACGCACGGACACACATACACGTACGCACGGACACACGCACGGACACACACGTACGCACAGACACACGCACGGACACACAGACACATGCACGTACGCACGGACACACACACGTACGCACAGACACACGCACGTACGCACGGACACACACACGTACGCACGGACACACACGTATGCAAGGACACACACGTACGCACGGACACACATACGCACGCAGGGACACACACACGTACGCAGGGACACACACACGTACGCATGGACACACACACACATACACACGCACACACACAAGCATACACAAAGACCCCCCGTATAGCCTTAACAGACTGTAGGGGCAAGTGCTGTTAGCGAGCACCTATGAAGGCCGGAACGGTACACGATGGGGTGGGTGGCCAGCACCACGCCCGACCGCCTTTGTCTCCCCAGTGGCGATGTTTACACACCGCACCAGGTACTCATTTAAGGCTGAGTTGACCTAGGGGAGGCCCAGGACCGGTTCAGATAATCGTCACGGTTAGGGTTGCGGTTAGAGCAAGGCTCTGGCTGGGTTTGGGAACGAGTTCTGGCTCGGGTCAGAGTAAGGGTCCAGGTGGGGGTTGGGCTCTCAGGTTCAGGGCTCACAGACAGAGTGGAGCGATGTTCGATACGGGAGCAAGCTGGACCAGGGGAGGGTCAGGGGACGACTCTGGGTCAGTGAGCGTCGCTCTCAGCGACGGTCGAGGTCGGGCTGAGCGAGGGCCCTCTGCTTTGGGCTCAGAATCAATGTTGTTTATCCTGCAGGAGGAATCCGATGAGCTACAAAGCTCTTTTTTCACGGACGTCCAGTCGGGGGCACGGGGTCAGATCGTTTCAACGAACAAACTATACAAGTGGATTGTATAGGAAAGGTAAGCAAATCAGGTAAAATTATATACAAATAATACGTAACTATAAATGTTATATTTAGATTTAAAGCTTTCGTGACTGCAGGGATTCATATTCTTGGTTCTTCCGGTAAAGTCACGTAGAAGGGAAACAATAAAATAATAAAAATATAAAACAATACAATTCTCACGACGTTTCGACTGCAACACAAGCAATCGTCATCAGGTGTGAAAAACACAGCAAGAAAAACAATTCTTGCTGTGTTTTTCACACCTGATGATGACGGACGGACACAATAATCCCCTGTGGGCTGGTGTAACCAGGAGGTTCCTACCAGTATAACAAATGCTATAGTCCCCGCACTAGCTTAGTCACAAGGGCGGGGGGGGGGGGGTTTGCATGAGGGTGTCTGGGGGCGAGTCTGCGGCGGGGCAATCACCGGGGAGGCCGGTCTTGGGCTTGAGGATCACCTCCAGCGTGGCGCGGTCCGACTGCTCCCGGCTCACGCGAACCTCGGCCGGGCCGTAGACCGCAGCCAGCACCGCCGTGTCGCCTGTGGCACGGCGGCAGACGGATGAGGGGCGCGGAGACTCGCACAACGAGAGACGCGGAGACACGCACAGAGACGCGGAGACTCGCACAACGAGAGACGCGGAGACACGCACAGAGACGCGGAGACTCGCACAACGAGAAATGCGGAGACATGCACAGAGACGCGGAGACTCGCACAACGAGAGACGCGGAGACACGCACAGAGACGCGGAGACTCGCACAACGAGAAATGCGGAGACATGCACAGAGACGCGGAGACTCACACAACGAGAGACGCGGAGACATGCACAGAGACGCGGAGACTCACACAACGAGAGACGCGGAGACACGCACAGAGACGCGGAGACTCGCACAACGAGAAATGCGGAGACATGCACAGAGACGCGGAGACTCACACAACGAGAGACGCGGAGACATGCACAGAGACGCGGAGACTCACACAACGAGAGACGCGGAGACATGCACAGAGACGCGGAGACACGCACAACGAGAGACGCGGAGACATGCACAGAGACGCGGAGACACGCACAACGAGAGACGCGGAGACACGCACAGAGACGCGGAGACTCACACAACGAGAGATGCGGAGACACGCACAGAGACGCGGAGACTCACACAACGAGAAATGCGGAGACATGCACAGAGACGCGGAGACTCGCACAACGAGAGACGCGGAGACACGCACAGAGACGCGGAGACTCGCACGAGAGATGCGGAGACACGCACAGAGACGCGGAGACTCACACAACGAGAGACGCGGAGAGATGCACAGAGACTCGCACGAGAGACGCGGAGACTCGCACAACGAGAGACGCGGAGACTCGCACAACGAGAGACGCGGAGAGATGCACAGAGACTCGCACGAGAGACGCGGAGACACGTACAACGAGAGACGCGGAGACACGTACAACGAGAGACGCGGAGACACGCACAACGAGAGCCGCGGAGACTCGCACAACGAGAGCCGCGGAGACTCGCACAACGAGAGACGCGGAGACTCGCACAGAAACGCGGAGACTCCAGTGACGTGAATTCTAGATTTGAAGCTTTCGTGATTGCAAGGACTCATACTCTTAGGTTTTTTCGGTAAAGTCACGTAGGTAAAAAAATAAAATTAATAAAAATAAAATAATAAATCACGACGTTTAGGAGGCAACACAAGTCTCCGTCATCAGGTGGGACCGTCACAGCTAAATTTACTCACTTGATACAGTAAACGTCGTGATTTATAATTTTATTTCTATTATTACTTTAATTAATTTAAATTTAATTTGAATTTTTTTACCTATGTGACTTCACCGAAAAAACCTAAAGAGTATGAATCCATGTTCTTGGTTCTTTCGGTAAAGTCACGTAGAAGGGAAATAATAAAATAATAAAAATAAAACATAATAAAATACAATTCTCACGACGTTTCGGCCACAACGCAAGCAGCCGTCCTCAGGTGAAGAACAGGTCTGTCGGGAAGACAGAGTCTGAATGAAACACCCCAGGCTTGGAGCGTCTATTTAAGCTGGGTTGGAGGGGGAAGAGCGCCTTGACAAAAGAATTTGCATATCAAGATAAATTTTGCATATTTATGGGAAATGCAGATAAGGGATTAGTACTACTTGTGAAATGCGTAGGAGGTGGGCGGGGGGTTTCAAAGTCATATTACGCCCGTGCATTACGCAGGATTAGCAGCATCAAAGGGAGGGGATAGGGGTAGCATTAATAAAGGGAAGGAATGTTAATAGTATGTAGCTGCAGTAACTATGAATCCAGTGACGTGCTGAGGTCAATGACTGGAGAGACACTGGCTCGTCGTGTCAGAGCCAAATTCACACACTGAGGGGGGCGTGGCCTCACTGAGGGGGCGTGTTAGACACGTCACCCTCAGTGAGGCAGATGTGATAGCTTCCTCCCCTGGTGCTTTTTCATTGCAGTTTCATGACGAGACCAGCGAGCCTAAATCTCTTTATACACATACGTGAAATAAGTTAGCTGGAGTATGGAAGGCGAGGACATGAAATGAAGGGGTCTACAATCATTACATTGGTGACATACTGAGATAGTCACAGGCACGCGCTTATTGCCCGCGCTCCATCCAGTTACTGAGGGGTTGCGCAATCAGAGGGGAGGCTGAGCTAGTCGCTGCCTCACCTCTCGTCTCTCCCTGTATTTGCAAACTTGGCGATTTTGACTATAAAAATGATTGGAATCGTACAGAAATTACATTTATAACACAGATCGGTGGAAAAATCTTAATATTTATTTTATTGGATTATTCTTTTTTAACTTTTCGTAACAGCTATTTTCATTGGAGTATGACAGATGAGGCTCTGCCTCCCCTGCCTCCCTTCACCGCACCTCCCTGGGTAGACTCAAGCGGAGACCCGTAGACTCACGCGCGTAGAGAAACATCGATATCCTATATCCTACGGATCTCAACGCGAGTCAGCTGATCTGCGAGTCTACGGGTCTCTGCGAGTCTACGGGTCTCTGCAAGCCGCTGTGTTTCTGGGTGACTTCCTGGGCCCCTATGCGAGCCTATGGGCTCTGCGTGCGACGTTTATACCGCCACGAGAACGTTTGGTGTGTAGAGTGCCACTCAACCGTGAGAGGCCGAGCGTGGGGGGTGGATGGGAAGGTGGGGGGTGGATGGGAAGGAGGGGGGTGGATGGGAAGGTGGGGGTGTGGAAGGGGGGTGGATGGGAAGGTGGGGGGTGGATGGGAAGGTGGGGGGTGTGGATGGGGAAGGGTGGGGGGTGGATGGGGGGGTGGATGGGAAGGTGGGGGGTGGATGGGAAGGTGGGGGGTGGATGGGAAGGTGGGGGGTGGATGGGAAGGTGGGGGGTGGATGGGAAGGAGGGGGGTGGAGGGAAGGTGGGGGGTGGATGGGAAGGAGGGGGTGGATGGGAAGGAGGGGGGTGGATGGGAAGGGGGGGGGGGATGGGAAGGTGGGGGGTGGATGGGAAGGTGGGGGGTGGATGGGAAGGGGGGTGGATGGGAAGGTGGGGGGTGGATGGGAAGAGGGGGGGTGGATGGGAAGGTGGGGGGTGGATGGGAAGGTGGGGGTGGATGGGAAGGTGGGGGGTGGATGGGAAGGTGGGGGGATGGAAGGGGGGGGGTGGATGGGAAGGTGGGGGGTGGATGGGAAGGTGGGGGGGTGGATGGGAAGGTGGGGGGTGGATGGGAAGGTGGGGGGTGGATGGGAAGGTGGGGGGTGGATGGGAAGGTGGGGGGTGGATGGGAAGGTGGGGGTGGATGGGAAGGGGGGGGTGGATGGGAAGGAGGGGGGTGGATGGGAAGGAGGGGGGGGTGGATGGGAAGGAGGGGGGGTGGATGGGAAGGTGGGGGGTGGATGGGAAGGTGGGGGGTGGATGGGAAGGAGGGGGGTGGATGGGAAGGTGGGGGGTGGATGGGAAGGGGGGGTGGATGGGAAGGTGGGGGGTGGATGGGAAGGTGGGGGGTGGATGGGAAGGGGGGGTGGATGGGAAGGTGGGGGGTGGATGGGAAGGTGGGGGGGGGGGGGGTGGAGGGAAGGTGGGGGGTGGATGGGAAGGTGGGGGTGGATGGGAAGGAGGGGGGTGGATGGGAAGGTGGGTGGATGGGAAGGTGGGGGGTGGATGGGAAGGTGGGGGGTGGATGGGAAGGTGGGGGTGGATGGGAAGGTGGGGGGTGGATGGGAAGGAGGGGGGTGGATGGGAAGGTGGGGGGTGGATGGGAAGGTGGGGGGTGGATGGGAAGGTGGGGGGTGGATGGGAAGGTGGGGGGTGGATGGGAAGGAGGGGGGTGGATGGGAAGGGGGGGGGTGGAGGGGAAGGGGGGGGTGGATGGGAAGGTGGGGGGTGGATGGGAAGGTGGGGGGTGGATGGGAAGGAGGGGGGTGGATGGGAAGGTGGGGGGTGGATGGGAAGGTGGGGGGTGGATGGGAAGGAGGGGGGTGGATGGGAAGGAGGGGGGTGGATGGGAAGGTGGGGGGTGGATGGGAAGGTGGGGGGGTGGATGGGAAGGTGGGGGGGTGGATGGGAAGGTGGGGGGTGGATGGGAAGGTGGGGGTGGATGGGAAGGAGGGGGGTGGATGGGAAGGTGGGGGGTGGATGGGAAGGTGGGGGGTGGATGGGAAGGTGGGGGGGTGGATGGGAAGGTGGGGGGGTGGATGGGAAGGTGGGGGGTGGATGGGAAGGAGGGGGGTGGATGGGAAGGTGGGGTGGATGGGAAGGGGGGGGTGGATGGGAAGGTGGGGGGTGGATGGGAAGGAGGGGGGTGG